CATCATCATCATCATCATCATCATCATCATCATCATCATCATCATCATCATCATCATCATCATCATCATCATCATCATCATCATCATCATCATCATCATCATCATCATCATCATCATCATCATCATCATCATCATCATCATCATCGGGACACCGACGGGACACCGGCGGGACACTGGCGGGACACCGCGCGCCACCGGTCATTTGGTCTGGCCGCGCCTCAGCCGGAGGCGGGACACCGGCACCGGCCCCCAGTGAGGAATCATTTGGTCAGGCCGCGCCTCAGCCGGAGGCGGGACACCGGCGGGACACCGCGCGCCACTGGCCCCCGGTGAGGAACCATGTGGTCCGGCCGCGCCTCAGCCAGAGACTTTCTTCTCGCCCGCCCACGCAGCTTCGCCTCGCCCGCACGCACGGCACGCACGAACACGAAACCGAAACCGATTTCTCGGTAGGGGGGCTCTCCGTTCCACTTCGATCTCACCCCCTCAACTCCGACTATATTTGCGTCCCCGATTCCACAAAACCAAATTAATTACTCAATATGCGCGTCCCCGAAACCATAAACCATCGTAAATTATATCATATTCGTGCCACCGAAGCCATAAACCGTAGTAAATTAATAATGGCGCTCGCGTGAAGTCCTGACATTGCTTCACGTCAGCGTCCAGACATCCCATCACAGCTCTGGCAAGTCCCATTCTAAGAGAGGGGGGGCCGGCGGCATGGGGGCGCGAAGCCCTCACGGATAACCACCCCAACGCGTGAAGCCGTTTACTAAACGCCCCCACTGAAGGAATCGAACAGGGCAGGGCTGTTCAGTAAACGCCCAAGGTCGTGTAGTAAACGCCAACTGTCCAGTCCGGGTGGTTTTTCCTCCCTTGAAGATTAGCCTTAGGTCGGGCATGTCCTCCTACAGGGGGATTTTGGACGAAAAACCAAAAACAGTCAAAACATATCCAAAAACTGTCCAAACGTATTCAAAAAGTCGTCCGCAGGCGACTTTTTCATTATCTGTGAATTTTCCTCCTGTAGAGGGACACACCCGACCTGAAATTAGCCATGTCCACGGCTCCGCCCCTCGAGGCTTTGGAGCCTGGCACCAGCAGAAGAAACACAACAACACCCAGAACCCACACACACACACACACACACACACACACAAACACACACACACAAACGCATAGAACACACACACACACAGACACAAACACACACACACACACACACACACACACACACATACATTCGCACGCGAAGGTCGGCGAGCTTCGACTGGACCTGCTTCTCGAGCTCCGCGTCGGGGCCGAGGAGGCCAGGGACGGGCAGCTCTTCGCCGCCTGCTGGCGTCCGTGCCTAGCACCCGCTGGGGGCCGACTGGTCCACGAGTCGATGGGAGCGGGCGGCCCCTCCTGCTCAGCCTCCTCAGCGCGCTGGATGTTCGGGAGGTTTGTCTTGATCTTGGAGATCTTGGCCCGCAGCCCTTGGACCTTCGACTCGGATAATGAGGGTGCAACGATTACGTTGACTCATAGTGCGTCTCAGGAATGACGTTCTGGCACGATTCAAGATCGTCAGGACGCAACAGTCAAGTTGATCCATGGCGTTGGAGTCCCGAGAACAGTGTTTGGGCATGCTTCAGGGTCTTCAAACGGCTGTTTCCCAACAAGGCAGTCCCTCAGTGGAAGTAAACCGTTGTAGGGGCCTATGAAGAGGGAGCTTGGAGGAAGGATTTATTCCAACATCGTCGATGACTCTTGGGTTTCCACTGGTCCTCTCCCTCCTCCTCCACATGCTCGTTATACGGAAGGGAGGCCGTCGCGGTGTGGCCACGGAGTGGGCTGCTGGCGACAAACTGGGGTTTAGAGCGGCTGAGTCTGGGGAGTCCATGCCACAGGGTCCTCCTGAGCCATGGTTCCATGGCTCATACGCTTTGCGTTACTTTTTCTTTCCCCCAGGGGCGCGGAAATCATTCTCGGTTGTCCGCTGAATATGAGGGGCATTCGCAGAAGCCCTCAACCCGAGCCTGCCAGCGCGCTAGCATTGTCGCCATCCAGGCGGGAGGGCAAGCAGAAGACACCGCTAAGCCAATGGCGGGGAAGGCTGGGTCATGCTCTGTTCTGAACGCTTCGCGTTCCACATGCTCCGTTTAAGCACGCAGGCCTGGCCGGTACAGGTGGTTGCGACGTATTTGGTGCACACCTTGTGGCACGTGCTCTTGTCCTCAGCCGCGCGACTTGTGCAGCACGCTGGGCCTGCCTCATCTCCTCCTTATCGCTCTCGTCGTCCTCGTCCTCCTGTCATATCCCTCCTGCTCCTCCTCCTCTGCTCTCCCTCCGTCCACCCCTCCTCCAAAAGAAGCCTCGGGCTTCCCCCTCGATGCGCCATCATCCCCGGCATATTTCCGACACGAGACCACACGTAAAGCGAGGGAAGAAGAAGAAGAAGAGCAGGAACAGCTACCACGGCGCAGGCTCGCCTCGGACTCGAATTGCGCCGCCATCTTGTCTGCGAGGTCCTTGCGGCTCACGAACACAAGGACCTGTAGGGTGGGACACACGGCCTTCATCCTCGGGACAGCCTCCTCCCCACCGTCGTCCTCCTCCTCCGATTGCTCGTCCTCCGCCTCTCCTCCTCCTCCTCCTCCTCCTCCTCCTCCTCATCATCATCATCATCATCATCAGCATCATCATCATCATGATTAGCAGCAGCATACTCGTTATCCTCCTCCTCCTCCTCCTCCTCCTTCCCATTATCATCATCATAATCATCATCATCATCATCCTCATCAGCAGCATCAACGTCATCATCACCACCACCACCACCATCATCATCATCATCATCATCATCGTCGTCGTCATCATCATCATCATCAGCAGCATCATCATCATCAGCATCAGCATCACCATCCTAATCAGCATACATCATCAGCAGCATCATCAGCCTCAGCATCATCATGATCAGCAGCATCATCATCGTCATCATCATCATCGTCATCATCATCATCGTCATCATCATCGTCATCACCATCAAGGAATGGGACCGTGAAATATATGAAGTGTTAAAGCAAGGGTTTCCTGGAAGCCCAGGCTCCCGGGCGCGCAGCCGAGGGCAAATGTGTGACGAACACCTTCAGAATGGGAGCGCGTATTCGATGGAGTCCTAAAGCAAGGGACTCGTGGACGCCCTGGCTCCTGGGCGCCCAGCCGAATGCCAACGTGTGGTGAGCACAGTAAGGGATTGTGGAGTAGTTATACTATGGAGTCCCAAAAGCCTAGGTTTCTCGGAGGCCCAGGCTCCTGGGCGCCCAGCCGAGTGGGATGCTTATACGGAGTCCCGAAGCAAGGGTTTCCCGGACGCCCAAGCTCCTGGGCCCCCAGCGGAGTGGGATGTTTATACGGAGTCCCAAAGCAAGGATTTCCCAGACACCCAAGCCCCCGGGCGCCCAGCCGAATGTGCGTGTGTGTGTGTGATGAACACCATAAGGGATCGGTTTGTTTATCATTTGGAGTTCCCAAGCGAGAATTTCCTGGACGCTCGGGTCCTGGGCGCCTAGCCGAGTGCCAATGTGCGACGGACACCGTAGAAGGATGGGAGTGCTTATATGGAATGCCAAAGCAGGGGGTTCCCGGAAGCCCTGGCTCCCGGGCGCCCAGAATTGTGTGCGACGAACACGAAATATAGCAAAGCGAAACAATTAGTGGACACTCCCCCGCCCCAAAAAAACTGAAGGTTGGCACGCGCGGGGAGGACTGCGGTCGAAGTACAACTCATCCAACCCACCGCCAACATTGATCATTGGGGGGCATTGATACACGAATGTGGCATGTGTTCGATATGTTTTCCGAAGCCTGTACCGTATTCACTCTCCGCCCAGCTGTGCAGGCTACGTGCGCGGGCGTCGGGCGCGGCGCCCGCATGGGGGGGGGCGGGGGGCCTTGGTACCCTCCAGCGCGAGCGCCTCCCGCAGGTGGCGGTAGAGGTACTTCTGCTTCGCCACGTCTCGCTCCTCCCAGTCCCCCTGGTCGAAGACGACCACCTCCTGACCGCGGGAGAGGGGAAGGCCAGGGAAAGGACGAGGAGGAGGAGGAGGAGGAGGGAATGGAGGAGGAGGAGGAGGAGGAGGGGAATGGAGAGAGAGAGAGAGGAGGAGGAGGAGGAGGAGGAGGAGGAGGAGGAGGAGGAGGAGGAGGAGGAGGAGGAGGAGGAGGGGAAGGGGGAGGGGGACAGGGGAGGAGGGGAATGGAGAGAGGGGAGGGGAAAAGGAGAAGGCGAGGGGCAGAGGAAGAGCGCTGCCGAAAGGCCGAAACAGAGAAACGGAAAAAAGAGCCCGCGCGTGCCGTGCCTGGCACCCTGCTCGCTTCCCTCCCAGGAGTGCGCATTTCGGCACGCGCTGCAGATCATGAGCGCACATTCGAGGCCCTCGGTTCGGGTGTTGCTGGAGGTGCCCCTGGCCCAAGGTGCCGCCGGCTTTTTTCGCTCGCCCCATTTTGGAGCCCCTGGGGCCCTCTGGGCCTCGTCAGGGGTGCTCTGGAGGCAGTCGGAGGCCCCCGAGAATCTTGAGGGCACCTTGGGCCAGGGGCACCTCTGGCAACTCCCGATCGGTTCGACTGAACTGATCGGGGGTTCAGCGCTGGCTCTGTTGAATCATCCGGGGCGGGCGTCGCAACGTTGTCCTTTTTGTGTTTGTTCCTGCGGTCTTCTCTGGGGACCCCACCATCCCACCCAGAGCCGATGCCTGCGCCTCCGCTCGCGCTCAGGCCGAGTCGAAGGGGCAGAGGCAGAGGAACAACTGGAGAAGGAGGAGGAGGAGGAGGAGGAGGAGGAAGAGGAGGAAGAGGAGGAGGAGGAAGAGGAGGAGGAGGAGGAGGCGGAGGCGGAGGCGGAGGCGGAAGCGGAGGCGCTGGCGGGCCGGAGCACCTCCCCAGAGCCCGACGTGCGGCTGGGTCCTCGGAGCGGGGGGGTGAGACAAGTGCAAGACGAGGACCTATTCGGAAGAGGAAGAGCGGAGTGGGACTCACAAGAGACCTTTTTTTGAATCGGCGATAACCTGGGTTGTCCGGGGGGGGGAGGAAGAGGGGGCCGATAACCTAACCTTCACACTGTGTGCAGCCCTGCATATGCCCGCGCCACCCCACTCAGGACCTGCACAACCGGCAAGGTTAGGTTATCCCGGGAGGGAAGGAGGGAGGGGGTAAGCCCGATAACCCGGGTTATCGCCGGACCCGGGAAAAATGTCTCAAAGGACATACCAGTACCATGTGCCTCTATTGGAGGCGCACGTCCGACCCGAGCATCCTGCGCTGGGCGTCCTGTAGCATGTCGGCTCCCGTGCGGCGTGGCCAGAAAGCGACCGCCGCCGAGCACACCTGTACTTTGAGATCTCTCCGCGCGCGCGTCGCCCCCGGGGTGCAGACGCACACGCTGTTCTGGTGCAGATGTTTGGGTGACGCAGGGAGATCCAGGAATCTCTGAGATAACAGGGGGTATGGAGACCCCAACCCCCGACTTTGTGGGGTCTGCGGCCGGGCCACACAGAGTGGCCCAATCTGGAGTGTACGACGAGGGGGCGTCCATCCTCCACATGCGTCCGAACAACCCTCCTGGCGAACGTTTTCTTATTCGGCGTTTCAACATTTAGCGGAGGGGGGGGTGAGGGGGGTCTGGCTCCGGACCTCTGCTTGCTGCGCCTGTTTGCAGCAGTGCGCCCCGTGGGGGAGCCTCCACCTGCTTGAATAGAAGACGAGTTCCTTCTCTTCCGAGCGGCCCGTTTCCTCATCCTCCTCCTCTTCCTCCTCCTCTCCGTAGCCATTTTGGCTCAAGTCCGGAGCAAAGCGGCTCAGGTTTGAGTGTGGCAAGGGGGAGGTGCGCCCCCACCTGCGATCCCTGAGGCCCCTTAGCTCAGGGAACTGTGTGAGCTCCTGGAGGAGCATCGGTCTCCAACCTTTTTGTGCCAACGGGCACGTCTTTCGTTCGTGTGAGCTCCTGGAGGAGCCCATGGGCAGGCAAGATGCAAAGAATCCCACCAGCCCTTTGGGCGTGAGTGGTTTAGCGAGCTCTCTCTGTCCTCAACCCCCCATATTCCCCTTCGGGGAGGGGTTTACCCCTCCCCCTACCCCCTCCCCCTGGACCTGGAGAGGGAGTTCCGAGTGGTGTCAAGGGGTGCCTTTTTCGACTCCTGGGAGGGCCAAAAAACGACGACCCTCACGAGGATTCTGGCCCCGAGGGAGGGGGGGAGTTTGGTGCCTCTACTCCTCTTCGAAGCCAAAAACATTGATTTTACTAGGGTTTCGGCCCCATCTTGGCCTTCTGAGGGGGCAGCGCTCCTCTTCCTTCATAGCAAAATCATTGATTTTACGAATGTTTTGGGCTCATTTTGTCCTTCTCAGGGGGCAGCGCTCACTTGCGCTTCTGAGGAGGTCGCACGAGGCCCCAAGATGGCCCCAAGAGGCCCCCAGGAGGCTCCCAAGAGGCCTCCAAGTGGCCCCCAAGAGGCCCCCAAGACGCCCCAAGAGGCCCCCAAGAGGCCCCCAAGAGGCCCCCAAGAGGCCCAAGAGGCCCCCAAGAGGCCCCCAAGACGCCCCAAGAGGCCCCCAAGAGGCCCCCAAGAGGCCCCCAAGAGGCCCCAAGAGGCCCCAAGAGGCCCCCAAGAGGCCCCCAAGAGGCCCCCAAGAGGCCCCCAAGAGGCCCCAAGAGGCTCCAAGAGGCCCCCAAGAGGCCCCACGAGGAGCCCGAACGACTCACACCAGGACGAGGGGCCCGAACGACTCACACCACGAAGAGCCCGAACGACTCACACCAGAAGGAGGGGCCCGAACGACTCACACCAGGACGAGGCGCCCGAACGACTCACACCACGAGGAGCCCGAACGACTCACACCACGACGAGGGCCCCGAACGACTCACACCACGAGGAGCCCGAACGAGTCACACCAGGAGGAGGGGCCCGAACGACTCACACCAGGACGAGGGGCCCGAACAACTCACACCACGAGAAGCCCGAACGACTCACACCAGGACGAAGAGCCCGAACGACTCACACCACGAAGAGCCCGAACGACTCACACCAGGAAGAAGGGCCCGAACGACTCAGACCAGGACGAGAAACCCCAAACGACTCAAACCACGAGGAGCGCTTTCTCTCCCTCCTCCTTCGCCTCGTCCTTCTCCCGCTCCCCCCACAAGGAGGATGTACAAGGAGGCGGGAGGAAGGAGGAACAGGGGAGATATGCGGGGCCAAGCGGACACACGCCTGAAAAACACGACTGTCGGCATGCTTCGCGAGAGTTGCTGCTGTGAGATGGGCTGGTGGGGATACGCGAAGCGTACAGAATTTTGTCTCTTGTGTGTCGTGCAGGTACCGGTGAAATTGGAAGTACAGGACCTTCTGCTTCAACTGCAACGCCACGCTCGCCCCGCTCGAGATGCCGTGGCGCGATGCGGCTCAAGGAGTGTGGGCCCAAGGAGGTGGCGGCAATCACGGGGCTCAGCGGCCGCCAGCGGTCCCTCCAGGCGAGTGGCAGCGGTCGCCCAAGCCGCAGTCCCTCTCTGGGCACCGCGGCCCCACGCCTCCGCCGCGAGGGGAGCCTGCGGGGGGGGGGGGGGGCGGCCTCGCGACGGTCGACCTCCTGGCGCAGCTCAACAGCGGCTCGCGGGCTCGGCGGCGGCGCAAGAGCTCCAGGCGCTGGAGAGCGCCATCGGGCCCCAGAGCCCGCCGAAGGAGGTCAAGCCTGCGCGCCCGCCGCTGCGACGCGACAGCGCCAGCGGCGCAGTCGGCGGCGCAGGCCAACCTGGAGCGGCAGGCGGAGCTGCAGCTGGAGCTCGACCGAGCAGGAGGTGCTCGGCCCCCCAGCTCGGTGTCGGGGACCCCGGCCGCGGCGACTACTGGCGCCTCGCAGATCAACCTGTCGCACTTGCTGCACGCCGAAGAGGCCAGCGACACGGTGGACATCATCGACGGAGACCTGCTCGACCTATCGGAACTGCAGGTGGAGGAGCAGGATAAGAAGCGCTGGCAGGAGCTCAAGACCAACATGGGCAAAGAGATTCGCGCCGCCACCCTGGCGGCCATCGGGCCCAGCGCGGAGAAGATCCAGCCTCTGCGCCAGGAGGCTCGACAGATGCGCGAGCGCCTGGCCGCCACGAGGCCTCGCCGCGAGGACTCTGCCCCGGCTGGCGGCTCGCCAGCCTCGCCAGCCGAAAGCGCGGGCGGCCCAAGGGCGCGGCCCCCTCGCAGCACGATGGCGCTGCTGCTCCTGCTGGGCAGCCTGCGGCCGACGGCCCTGGCGGAGGCACGGCCGCTGCTGCCCCAGCCGCCGCCAGCGGAGCTGCCACTCCGAGTGCGGCCAGCGGAGGAGGCCCCCCAGGCCCTAGTGCGGGCGGCGGCTTGCCCTCTCCAGAGCAGATAGCAGACGCCGTCGCAGCCGCTCGCGACCGAGCGGCTAAGAAGTGTGTGTGTGTTAGCCCGTCTTTCTGGATGGGGCTGCCACCGCCAGGTATTGTTGTGGCCCCGCCTGATCCAGATCGGCATCGTCGCGATTTCGCGATCATGATGTCTGGCTGGAGTACTCAGTGGACCTGGAACTTAGAGGGCCAGACTTCTTTCGACATGCCGTCTCGGATGGGCTGGCGTGAGCCGCGGTCACGGGAAGTTCTCAGCCAGGCAGGCCACGCTCAGCTCCGCCGTGCCTTGTTGCTGAGGCGCAGCCCTGTGCGTCGAGACAGTCCTGGCGGACGTTTAGATGAGGCCGTTCGGGGAGCCTGTCTGTCGGCGCGGGCTCGAGGCAGAGGTCGGCGCAACAGGTTCATCGTTACGGTGAGGCCGCTGACTCAGGCAGTCCCGCAGCCATTTGCGGAGCACCACTGGGCCCAGCCAGTTGCAGAGCATCATCGACCTGTTCCGCGCGCTGCCGGATCGCCGCAGGCGGCCCGGCTTGTTGGGGCGCCCAGCCGTCCTCGGGGAGCCTAAGAGCCCCAGTGCCCGGGCAAACCCCAAAGGGAGAGGGTAGCGGGCAAGCGAGGGAAGCCGCAGACACGAGGGTG